AGATCGATGAAGTCTTTTAGATTTTAAATCCCAAATGTTAACTGTATTATCATGACCTCCACTGACTACATATTGTGAGTTTGAGTTCAGATTTACGCAAGTTTGCTTTTTCTGTAGTAAATAAAAGGAGAAAACAATTGTTAGTACTAAAAAACATGCATCATTTTCCTCCACACAGAAAGACAAAGCAAAAATGCTGACAAGCAACATCATGTTGGAACATGTCACATATATTTTCAACAAACGTCTTTTATAGGAAAACAAAAACCTGAGCTTAGCCTCTAATTTAAACAATCGAGTTTGGAAGCAGATTATTCATAATAATGCACAATTGTGGGCATAATATGAAACCCCTCTCACCTCTCTCCTACCCCCCTCTAAACTACCCTGCAAAAAAAACATTTTTGGGATGATAAACCCTAGCACCCCATAAATAGCAAGAGCCGTCTGGAGTGGACATTAGGTGGAATAAGAAAAATAAATGTATACATTTTCACTTTTAGATCTACTTAAACAGTTTAAGTGGACCAGATGTTTATTGTGCTTAAAAGAGAACTATGGGATAACATTTTTATCCCACAGTTCTCTTTAGGGTCACGGGAGGACTAAACGTCCTCCTGTGACCCAAAACGCAGTATACAGCGGGCTGTTACTATATGCCGAGAGAGCCGCAGCCGAAACGAATCCCGACAATACTGTCTAGATCCACCCCACTAGCTGATTGACAGCTGGCTCTGCCTATCTAGAGGCAGACCCAGCTATGCCCACCCCTTCCTCCGTCCATCCTTCCAGTCAGTGCTGGAGGATTGGGGGAGGGGAGGGGCAAATCCCAGTAAGGAGCGAAGACTGACAGTCACTGCTCTCTGCAGGGAGATGATCGGGAAGTGAGCGAGCAGCGCTATGTTTTCGCTCACTTCCCGGTCAATAGAGCCGATGTGTGACAGTTTTAATGTCACACATCAGCTCTAACTAAAGAGTTACCCTGAAAGATTTACATTGTCTTTAAATTTCTCCTATAAAAAAAAAAAAAAATTTTAATTGCACACTGTACTTGCAGGCATGTGAAGTTGCCCAAAGTTTCTTATTTGTATATCTATCAAGTGAGAAGCACTGCTGCCTCTGTTAAGGCGCCCACAAATGGTGCAAATTTCAGCAGGTTTTTGAGGAACTGGGTCGAAATTTGCACATTGTGTACCGATGTCGGCACCCTTTCAGTCAGCATCCCTCGATCAGCTGATCGAAGGAGCTGGCCAGCAAATGTTCGTACGGCCACGGTCAAAATACAATGCAAACAGCAGGATTCCTCGATTGACACACTCCTAAGTGTTGATGGAGGAAGCTGCTCTAGTTTTCTAGTTCAGCCCTGGGGTTGAACGAGAAAAATAGATCAGTGTATGACCACCTTAGTCATGTCACGTCTGTGCTGCTCTCTGTTCTCCTTGCTGGAAAGGAAGCTGCGCATGACGACCTGCAGAAAAAGGGCCTTCCTTTTGTTTCACCCACTCTGTGGATCTGCATTTTCAGCACCTCTCTTGCTGCGTCTTGACCATTAGCCCAGCAGTCATCAGAGTAATATAGCCTGATATTACAAAGCAAAGTCCTTCACACCTAAAAAAAATCGCCACCACCACACAAAGACACAGTGCAGAACAAGCCATGGTAGGTCAGTAAATGTGAAAACGATCAGCAGCAGGGAGTCTACAGACAATATTGATGACTAAACCTTTGCCCTCTGCTGCCTATTTTGGGCACATGTTCCACAGTTCAGGTCCTTGATAAAAGCCACCATCTAATGTAGAAAGTGTATGTGCAACTTTCTGATAACATATTTGTACAAATTATCCTACTGCTATGGTTACACTGCAACACTGTTAATCTGAATTCAAATATATATTTTACAAAATACATTTTCCATTTAGAAAGAGCAAGATAGCAAATATGAGAAAATGTATTTAAAAATACAGTATATTCAGAGAATAATTCAACAAAGTATGATAGCATAGGGAAAGCCAAGGATTTATTCTAGAAGATTACTTACCCCCTCTGCCAGCTCCAAGAGAGGAACTGGTTTAGACTTACAGCTTGAAAAGACTATTTTATCACCACTGCCAGAAGCACTGGCCAGGAAGAGATCTGAACTTACAGTTAAGGACCATGCAACATGATCTGTGAAATTTGTTACAGACAGTGCGAGGGACAGATGCTAGTATTACCCTGTATTTCTATCAACAAAGGTCAGTTTTAAGTTCAAGTACAAAGAAAGTAAAGCTGATGCCAGGAGAGATAATCTGTAAAATCTCTGAAACTGATAAATGGCATAAAATAGAATTTGCCAACTTATTATTGCTTCTTCACTTTTGATCAGAGAGTTTCACTTTGATTGGTGTTCAAAGCAAAATGCAGCTACAGTGTTGCATCCTTGGAATATACTAGACTTGTTCAGAACATACACACAAGGTCATTGAAAAATTTAATGAACCACAGGCACAGCACACAGTACATCACAAAGTTAAAAGCATACAATATGCATCCATATAGAGAGCTATTAAAAGTGTTTATCCCTTATCAAGTTTCTGTATTTTGGCAGCATTTTGACTCAACAAGAACTGACACATTCTGATTGAATTTCATTTGGCACAATTTTTGTTTTCATATTATTGATGGAGATATGGTCATGTAAGAGAAGTGGTTACTATATAATCTCTACGTATTGAAGTACCAGTGCAGCTATCTGCACCAGATACAATACTCATAAGAAATGATACTTGTTCTACTAGTACAGTGATTCAGAAAACACTGAAGCCAACGGATAAGCAAGGCTGACATATTCAAAAAGGACAAGTCATTAAAGGAAGCCAACATATTTGTCTCAGTACAGGTTCATGTTAAAGCTCACCTAATCAAACTTCAGCTTCCGGTACAATTACTTTTACTTTTTTTGCACCTGTAATTTGTCTGGTTAATTCATGTTAAACCTGTAATGTTTTTCTTCAATCGGTAAGCTCTGCCGGGCACTGCACAAATGTGCAGCGGGAGTCACACTGCATCGAAACCGTGTCTAGAATAGCTAAGTGTTGTGCATCCAGCGCCCATCCCCATTTGTTTAGCCCCACAGAAGAAATGAGAAAAAGAATGTGCAATTTTTCCTTTCACACTAAACAGAATGGATGGGCTATTGTATTCTAACAGTGATGAGTGTGCCGCTGTCAAAATACTGGAACAGTAGCTGCCGCTGATTCGCCGTATGACCAAGAAAATTTGTACCGCCTCCTTTAACCACTTGCCGTCCACCTGTTGTAAAAAAACGGACGGACGGCACTGCAGCATTGGCGGGTTGCCGTCTCCAGACGGCATTTTAATTGAGAAATCGACTTAGGCCTGGTTCACACCTGGGCGTTTTAGTTCATACACGCTGTAAAACGCTCAACATGTGAAAACCAATAATTGCCTATGGGCATGGTTCCCACCTGGGTGTTTTACACCGTGTAGGAACGCGCTGAAAAACGCCCTACGCCCAAAGAAGTACAGGAGCTTCTTTGGGGCGTATTTGCCGCGCTTATCCATTTGGATACCCCTCGGAAACACGTTTCTTTTACCGCAAAAGGCGGTAAAAAACGCGCAGCAAACACGCATATTCCGTACATCCAGGTGTGAACCCAGCCTTATGTTTCGCCGGGGGCCTTACACAAAAGTCAGTAGGACTCAGCTGAAATTTGACCAATCTACAGCCAGCTTTACAGAGAGCGCCTTGAGTATGAAAAACATTACGGTTTATTAAAGGTTTACTACCGTTTATTAACGGTTTAAAATGAAGTACAAATACCTGTTCTTGGTGTTGGGCTTCAAGACTAAACTGTAATGTATTGAAAAGGCTTTTCTCAAATTAATGTGTTTAGAACCAAAACACACGGGTATCATTCTTGTTCAGAGGCACTTCCTGTTATAGGTAGCAATGCTTTCTCCCCATCTCCCAATTGCTCTTCTTCACAGTCACTCCATCACTTGAGACTATATGTAGTCGTGTTGACCCATTACTCAGGAATGTTCTACCGTTGTCACCATTAGGAAATGACACAAAACTATCACTGGGCCATAGGCATGCAGACAGGAAGTGGCAGCAATGAGATGCAAACATAATGACTGGTTATGATACACATGCTGAACTAAAGTCAGGTTTGGACCTACTTTAAATTGCATTTTTTGTCAGATCATTTTAAAGATCACCCTTCTGTGATCAAACAGATTTTTTAAACAAGGTAAACATGGATCTGTTGCCATGTTTATTAAAGCTGAACTGCAGTGTCACCTTCAGTCTTGTACACGCTCCTGTACTGAAGTTGGTTACATTGTTTTCACTGCACACTGAGCTTCTCTCTTAGGGTACATTAGAAACTCAGAAAGCCAGATAGAGCCCACCACATTTCCTGACTGGAAAACATCCAGAAACATCAATGCCTTTCCTCCCCTAACTTACTGTTCCTGGCCGGCCCCTTTCATTCATTGGTTTTCAGATCTGTCAATCAAGGAGGTTCAGCTTCCCATGCAGACGCTACCACAGCTTCCTGTTTTCAGGAAGTTATGTACAGCACCCTTTCAGCCCCTCCCACCAGCAATGATCTGCCTGCATTGCAAAGCACAGAGACTTAGTGATGTCACTGGGTTCAACATTAAGTATATACTAAAAACAGGGAATTTAATTACTATGTTGATCTGGGGGGAAAGGAAGGCAAAATATAAACAAATTCAACTGCAGCTTAAAATAGTGTCCATTTGCAGCCATTGGAACATATATAAAATTCTACTACACATTATAAACTGTAAAAGTCACAAAATAGACTGTACATCTTTTGTCACACAGAAGGAAATCTACAAGCCATTTGCTTTACTGCAAACCTGAACTTGTAGTAATTGCAGTGAATGACAAATAAAATAAATCAACCATCACCCTGCCAAATACACCAATTACTTCTCCCATCTTGATGGACTGGCCGATGTTACTTTCCGATGTTTATTGCACAGTGTGAATAAACCATCAGATACTGATTTGTAATTGTTTTGTTAGGCTGCACTACAGACAAACTAAAAGGAAACAAATGTGTTCGCCGAGCAGAAATGGTCCATTGCACTAATATAAATTGACTCTGTTTCCATCAATGACTCATTAATGCAGGTATCCCACAGCACAGAGAGAAAGTTGAATCCATTTAACAACCTGCCATTCTTTAGTTAATAGTTTGAAACTATAGAGGTCTAGCCCGAGCATTCTAAAGACAATCACCTATGCTTTAGCTCATGTTACAGTTCTTCAGCCTTAGCATTTTTCAAGCTACAGCTCAGCAGAATGGATCAATATGTCAAAAGAACACCAGCTACCAACAGAAACGCATGAAAGTAAGAGCATACAAAAAGTAGTAAAACATCTTAAAGGGCCACAGATTATTACTTTTACAAATATTAACCATAAGGATAAATCATGTTGTTTTTTTGCAATTTCACTTCAACTCTACTAAAGTGTATTACAATACCTAAATCTCTTATTACAAAAAGTGGAATCTCTATCCTCATTGTGTGTTATTTCCCATTACAAGGCTGTCACAACAAACACACAATATGCCAGTACATTTTGCAAGGTTTTCTTGATAAAAACATTCACTTCCGATTCTCCGTGTCATTTTTACTACAGAAAAAAAAAAAGGGGAACCCCTGATATATCCATTTTAGATTAGAAAAAGAGACAGAGTCCTCAATCTCTCTTTTCTGCAGCCCCAGCACTGAATGAACAGGAATCCTCTATACTAGTGGTGGCAAACCTATGGCACGCAGGGCCCTCTCGGCTGGTACGCGATCCCACGTTCGGGCCACCTCTAAAAATAAGTCCGACCGTCCCGGATCGCCTCGGTATGCGATCCAGGTCGGTCACGATCAAGCAGCGGCAGCCTCCTCACAGGCATATTAAACGGCCGCTTCCTCCTCACTAGGACCCTGTGAGGCCCCAGCGAGCGGCTGTCTAATATGCCTGTTAGGAGGCTGCCGTTCCCTGATCGTGGCCGGCACGGATTGCATACCGAGGCAATCCAGGACGGCCGCAGTTATTTTATTTAGAGAGCCGCCGCTGCCCTCCCCTGACAGCCACACAGCTGAGTCCGCCCCCTCCCCACCAGCTTGGCCTCCTGTAACAGCCTATTCCGCCTCTACACTGCTCTCCATCCTGATCGGTCACAGCAGGCTCAGTGGGGCGGTGCGGAAGAAGAGCTTGGCCTCCTGTGACAACAATCATACTGCTCTACTGATTAAATAATTTACAATAGATGCTGCTTATGTATGTTTAAAAGTTTTAGATCCTGCAGAAGAAGCTGGTCCTCCGAGCACTGGACCCGATATCCTGTCTTAGGGTGGCTCCTTTTCCTTGCAGGGTCCTATGGAGCCACCCCTGTATGTGCTAGTAAGCTGTGTGCATCTCAACAAACACACAGACACAACAAGGCAAACCACTCCCCTGCTCCCCCTTCCTTTTCTCTAAGCTAGTAGCTGGACGGCTGCTAGAACCTGTGCTGCCCCTTGTGAGCTTGTACTGGTCAGGAAGTTCAGGGAAGTGGAGGTTTGAAAACATAATGACTAAGTGTGTGTGGAAAAATGTAAAGAAATACTTTGCTGGGCAATATATATATATATATATAGTTTTATTAGAGGTGCACCGAAATAGAAATTAACCCTAATAGATCTCTATATATAGATCTCTAGATAGATATATAGATCTCTAGATAGATATAGCCCTAGGTGCATCCCTACTAGATCTCTATATATAGATCTCTAGATAGATATATAGATCTCTAGATAGATATATCTATGTAGATATAGAGATCTATAGAGATATATCTATATATGGTAGATAGATAGATAGATAGATAGATAGATAGATAGATAGATAGATAGATAGATAGATAGATAGCTACAACACAGGAATACACATTTTAGCACAACTTACACGACAGCAATAACTTCTGCAAAAAAAAAATAACAGAAAGCAAAGCAAACCAAGAGGTCTATTCATAAACTAATGAAGGGTTGATCCAAGTCAGTGCCTACATGCAACCACATAAAACAGCGGGGGGAAAAAAGGGAACATATTGCAATATTAAAGACATAAACACGTAACACTCATATTCAGATATTACCGTAGAAATGTACTGTGCTTTGTATTGCAGCTCAATAGAAATAGTTTTCTTACATTTTGAAGACTTAAACACATACGAAACAAATGAGCCACTAGAAAAAGTACCAGCATGCACATGTCAAAAGGATACTGTTTCTGCTCCAACACAATGAAGATACAGGATGTGATGTGCTGTGGGGATTGAATTGCTCTACCACTGTCATGGATGAAGAGTCCCATATTTTAATATCATCACCAGCTGAAGCAAATCTGAAGCTGTCCTCCATGGTTATTCCTACATATGAAGAAAAAGGGGGTTAGAACTATTAAACACACATCCTCCTATAATACTCTAGAAATGACAAGCAACCCATTCAAATTGTACAATGAAATTCCCTTGCATTTCTACCTGCATAAATATTCACAACCTAAGCCTGTTTTCTGGGGTCATACCAAAGATAGATCTTGAAACCAAATTTACTAGAAAGAAATGACATTTCCCAACAACCCATACAGGTAATCTTAAGGATGAACTCCGGGATTTATTTATTTTTTACTCGTACAAACACGTTACCGCTAATGACAGTAATCCTAGGTCTGGGTCAATGGTGCCTAGTTTCTAAATCCTGGTCTAACTCATGCCGGAATGTACAAGCAGTGCTATACTTCTATGCTGCAGAGATGGGAGCTGTGGTTATAACAGTAAAGGGATCCTGTCATTCACCTTGCCTTTCCTGACCCCAAATTGATTGAAAAAAATGCCCTTTATTTGTTTTACAGAATAAAAGAGATACAGTGAGAAATCCTGTCATTGATCCACCCTTGCTCTCCCCTTTTCCATTCACAGAGCGTCTTGTAATCTGTAGGCATCATTAGACGTAATTTGTTTAGGGCTGCAACAACTAATCGACATAATCGATTATAATCGATTATTGAAAAAGTTGTCAACTTTTTCAATAATCGATTAATCGGCTTCCGATCAGTTGGCCCTGTTCACGGCTCCACACACGCTGCACGCCGATTGCTGGGATTTGTTGTAGTCCTCTATAGCTGGTGGTATTCTGCATTGCGCTGTATAATGTACTATTGCTGGGTTTTGTATTCCTCTATAGTCGGTGCCATTTTGCATTCATTGCTGTATAATTTTACACTTTCCTTTTCACTATATTGCACACCACACTATTTTTTTCCACCGGTCCAAGCTTGCTCCTGTGATGGACTACAATCTCAATACAAACTAGTAGTCCATCACTGGAGCCATTTTTTTTATTGTTTATCCGATTAACCGATTAATCGAACTTAATAATCGGCTAACTAATCGATTTTGAAAATAATCGTTAGCTGCAGCTCTAAATTTGTTTGTAGAGCATAAATACAAAACATTCTGGAGTTCAAAGAAACTATGCACCTAAAAGTCTCTTTAAATTATCACTGGAAGCTTACTGGATCTACCACTAGAGCCTTATATTATTTCGGGTAGGTCCAGTTGCAAGAGCGCAATCTTTTAGGTTGCAAAATAAAATAACTGAAAGGTCAAAACCGGCAGAATCAAACTGCAGAAGGGTTTGGGTGTAGGTGACAAATCTGGAGCAGTTGCCCATGGCAACCAATCAGCTTCTCTTTTCAGTTAAAGGAGAACTATGAGGTTAGTGATTTCCATAGTTAGAAGCTGTCACAGGTCGGCTCTATTGATCGGAAAGTGAGCGAACACATACCGTCAAGGAACTAATCAAGCACACATGGTTTTAATAGCTTCAGCCAGGGAATGACAGCTGCCTACAGAGGTGGCTGAATATAAACACCGCAGGCAGTGTGTGTGCGCGCGCGCACACGCAATGGCCAGCCTTCTATTGCAATTTAAAACAGCCAATAGCAGGCTGGGAATTGCACCCGACCGTGGCCAATCAGCAGAGGAGAGACCTGAAGTCCTCCTCAGGCTGTTTCAAATTGCATATTGCGCACACACTGCCTCCAAGTCTCTCCGACCCGTTCAGCAACCCTAGCACCTGACAGCCTGTCTGTGTCCTCTCCGATGCCCACTGCTTCTGCTGATACAGGAAGGGGAGAGCAGCAGGGATTGGAGGCGACACAGACTGCAGCGAGGAGGAGACTGGTTGAGCAAAGTTGCGGCGGAGGAGGTGGGTGAGCATTTGGGCGTGCTGAGGTCAGCGAGTTTTGGAGCTGTCCATGAAATCAACTAATCAGAATCAACTAAATCGATAATGAGAATCGTTGACAATGATTTTCATTATCATTTATTATGGATTAGTTGTTGCGGCCCAAGAAGTATCCATACATGAAGAATAATAAAATATACTGAGATCTAGGGATGCATCAAAATGAAATTTGTAGACCAAAACTGAAATTTGTTTTTTATTTATCAGTTACAGAAAAAAAAAAAAAAATGAAATACACAAGCAAAGTTTACTTCAAAATAAAACTGCATGCACAATTTTTGCAATCGCACGGCATTCCATGCCTGTTTTAATGTATGATTTTATTTTTATAAACATATTTAAGGGATGCCCCTATACCCTTTTTTCAAGTACAAGTACTGATACTTGTCCAAGTCCTCACAGATGCAAGTACTGATATATTTTTGTTTAGGGTCATGTGACAGTTTTTATAAAACAATACAGACTTATGATGTCAGGACAGTGGTGGAGCACCATAAACCGGTCCCAGCTGCAACACTGGTAGTTCTCCTGAAAATGCCAAGTATCGGCACTGCTACCTGAACAGCCCTATCCGTTAGTATGAGCGCATTTGCGGGGTTGGGGGACGTTAAACTAGAGTCCATACAGAACAAGAGAAGCAATACTGCGCAGTGTCGAATTCGTACATAAGAAAATATAACGAACATCATTCGGGATAGGAAAGACCTGCAGTGTACAGCGCACTGCGTCAAGATAACATACAAAGTATAAAAACAGATCAGTATATGTGGTTTACATGACAGCAGTAGAACTATGGAATGCCCATAAAAAACATTCAGTCACGTCTCATGTCTCTGGTGAATGCAGGGAGATCTGT